TCTACTTGGTCATCGCCTTGGCCTCTGTGTCATCGCTCTTCCTCTTCTCTGTGCTGGTGTTCGTGGTTGTGAGGCTGTGCAGGAGGCGCAGGGCGGCGCCACTGGGTGTGTATTCGGTGCCTGAGGGCCACTTTCCTGGACACCTGATGGATGTCAGCAGCACTGGGACCCTGTCTCAGAGCTACCAGTATGAGGTTTGTCTAAAGGAAGGTTCAGGGACTAGCGACTTCAAGTTTCTGCAGTCTATTAATCACAACCATCAAGGGACTGTGAATGACACGGTGTAAAATTCTAGCTTCGCAAATTGTTTTGGATAATTAGTGACTGTTGGTTTTCAGATCATTCAGGATAAAGGTTAATTTCTTTCTAAGTATAATAGATCTCCATTATATTTTGGGTTCATATAAAATTTTCTAATGTTTTTCGTTGATTTTTCTAGTTAATAAGAAATTTTTCTCTAATATAGTCTCATTATTTCCTTCTCTTTTATCATTTTTACTTGACGGTGACAATAAAATTTCAACTTTACTCATTACTGAAAAGTTGCTGATATCTCTTCTATCAACATTTTTTAAGTGTTAGTTATTGAACCCCCCAAGGGTGCTTCAACATTGAGAAACATCCCCAGCATCTTTTTATTTTTTATTTTGTGACCAGATTTTTCTAATTTGCTTATGACCTTGCTAAATTGCTGAGGCTGGCCTGGAACATGTGATCTTCCTGCCTCAGCCTCTGGAGCTGCTGGGCATGAGCCACTGTGCTCAGCTTATTTATCAGCATTTCAACATCAAATAGTACTGATTTGAATATGATGCCAGCCCCATTCTATTTCATTGTTGTCTAGTAATTTTTTTTCTAAATTTGGTGATTTGAAAACAAGCATAATATAATGAATTTTTAGTATTTCCTGTTTAATCTGATAATATGCTTTCCTGTGTAGCATATTTAAATGGAGAAATATCTGTAAAAATGCATGGCTTTATTTTATAGTAGGATTACATGAGAAACACCATAATTTCTCCCCAACTTAAGTCTTTCCTACTCTTTATATCAACTTTCAGTATCTAATTATCAGATTTTCTCAAGCATTGCAAGTGATATTATGTTTGGCTAAATATGTGAAAGAAATACCGAAAGTCAATCCTCTGAGAGACAAGAAGTACCACAGTCTGGCTGGGCACAAATCACGAGCCACTAAAGCAGGAACAAACTTTATTTCTGAACTCCACCAGCACACTACACACACGCTCCCCGGGAATTTTCCCCAATGCCACTGGGCTGATCCAGGAACCAGCAACTGGAAATATCCCTCCTGGGCACTTCCCCCAACCAATGGGAACTCTCTGGGAATCCCCTGGAGAGCTCAACTGGAACTCAAGGGGAACTCCTCGAGAACTCACTGGCATCACCTCTCAACCACTTCTTCTGGCAAAAATGCCATGCATCATCGCAACTCGGCTGTGGCCCTCAACAGGAAGGAGATATCCAAAAAATAACTTTGGTGTAGATTTTCCTGTTGTAGAAGTTTCATTTCCTTCCAATAAGTTTTGTCTCCTGGGATTATTAAAAATAAATTTTCTGGGCTGGGAATATAGCTCAGTTGGTAGAGTGTTTGCTTTGCATGCATGAGGTCCTGGGTTCAATCCCCTGCATCACAGAATAAAATAACTTTCTTCTAAGATAGCTAAGTGATGCTTTTTTCTTGTTTAACAGCATGTTTAGATATTCTTGAATATACTGGTGAAGTAGAGCTTACTATTAATTTGAGATTTTATTATGACTTTTAAAAAATATTTATCTTTTAGTTATAGATGGACACAATATCTTTATTTTAGTTTTATCTTTATTTTAGTGCTGAGAATTGAGCCCAGTGGGGCCTCACGTATTGTAGGCAAGTGCTCTACCTCTGAGCTACAGCCCCAACCCTTTATTATGGCTTTTTCTATTAACAATATCATTTGCCATCAAAAGGGTTGTAAACTACTAGTAGTTGGAAGAGTCATGTACAAGTTTTGCTAAAATATATAATTTGAGAAGAATTGAAGGATATTTCCAATGTACTTCCTAATTATTTAATAGAAATTCTTAGAAAATTCTGATATATAAGATAGAGCTTTTGAATATCATTAGTATCATAATAGTGTTTGTGTGAAATGCTGTTGACAATGTAAAATGTATATCTAAAAGAGATGTATACCTTATTTGTAAGATATTCATAACCTTTTTGTTATATTATTTCTTTCTGCAATGTATCTCTTGGGTTAGAAAGAGCCAAAGTATTTTATCATTCAATGAAAAGACATTTCATATCATTGTGAATTATTTCAAATTATTTTAAATGCTTGATGTATCAAAAATAGATACTTGGGAATATTCTGTCTTATTTAATAGAGCTTATCTAACAACTGGGATCCCAGAAAAAGAAGAGATGTCTATAGCAGGGGAAGAATCCATCTACCAGAATTTTAAAATTAATTGTGATTTATCCACTGGTCCATTTGACAAATATTTATGGAGCATCTACTATGAGCCAAGGATTATTTGGGGGGTGCAGAATGAACAAAACAAAGTTCTAGTATTTATGGATGACATAGGAAAGAAATAAATATGTACATCCATGCTATGACAAATGATAAATGTTAGTAAGAAAAAAACAGGGCAAGAGATGTAAAAGTACCTTCATATGCATTTTCCTATGACTGAAAAATTTACTGGCCAGTATTATGGTTTTTACTGGCTGAGCTATATCAAGCATTTGAAAGTAACTCGAGGGCAAAGAATATTGCTGATACTTTTTTAAAAATCACATGGCTATGTGTCCTTAATTTTACAAGATGAATGATCATTATGCCTTCTTTCACTTCTCAGTTTTCCTCAGAGCACTTCTATCCAGAATATTGGTTTAGAAGGTCAGGGGCATGTCTGGATTGTTTACTGGTGTATTTTCAGAACCAGGGACACAGATATCAATTATACTTCTTTGAATGAAGAAATAAAAATTATAATTGCATGATTTAGTTATTACATATTCTCCCCAATTTCCAAACTTCTAAAAGTTAGATAAAGACATTGTAGCAATTCATTTCCAAGCAAAAGTAACGCATGGTGGCGCTGCAGGCTAATGCTTTAAAAGAAAGAAACGCCAATAAATGCTAGGAACTCTACTTCAGATCCCCAGTTAAAAAAGAAAAGCCTGTATGCAGAGCCGGACCAGTAAGTCTCCAGAGAATGCTGCTTACCTACCTTTCCAGACAGGTTATCAACTAAAAGATCGACCAGTGTCTCAGTTCCATTGCTCCATAAGGTACTGCTGACCCCTGTTCTTGTAAAGGTGTGTGCAGAAGTAAAGATGGAGTCCGGAAGGGTGCGCAAACAAAGGCAAGTTCTGATTCTCTTTCTCTTATCCGGAGTGGCTCAGGCAGGCTGGGGACTCCGACGCTATTTTGTGATGGAGGAAACTGAGAGCGGCTCTTTTGTGGCTGACCTGGCCAAGGATCTAGAACTAGGAATAGGGGAGCTAGCTGCACGGGGAGCCCGGGTGGCCTCTGAGGATAACGAACCACGTTTGCAGCTGGATCTGCAGACCGGGAAGTTGATATTAAATGAAAAATTAGACCGGGAGCAGCTTTGCGGCCCCACCGAGCCCTGTGTAATGCATTTCCAAGTGTTACTGAATAAACCTCTGGAGGTATTTCGAGCTGAGCTCCTGGTGGGAGACATAAATGATCATTCTCCTGAGTTTTCTGAAAGAGAAATGATCCTAAAAATCCTAGAGAATAGCCCCCCTGGTACTGTTTTTCCTCTGAAGAAAGCTCAGGACTTGGACGTGGGCAACAACAACGTTCAAAACTACAATATTGGTTCCAACTCTCATTTCCATATTTCCACAATCAAACGGGGAGATGGCCGGAAATACCCGGAGCTGGTGCTGGACAAAGAGCTAGATCACGAGGAGCAGTCTGAGTTCAGATTAACCCTGACAGCGCTGGATGGTGGCTCTCCACCACGATCTGGCACCACTCAGATTCGTGTCCTGGTCTTGGATGTCAATGACAATGCCCCTCAGTTTGAGCAGATACTCTATGAGGTGCAGGTCCCAGAGAACAGCCCTATAGGTTCCCTAGTTGTCAAGGTCTCTGCTAGGGATTTAGATGCTGGAGCAAATGGACAGATAACATACTCGCTTTTTTATAGTTCTCAAGAGATAGGAAAAACTTTTGAGCTAAATAGCCTTTCAGGAGAAATTCGACTAATTAAAATTCTAGATTTTGAAACCATATCTTCATACGAACTAGATATAGAGGCATCTGATGGGGGAGGACTTTCTGGGAAATGCTCTGTTTCTATCAAAGTGTTGGATGTTAATGATAACTCCCCAGAACTAACTATCTCATCATTTACCAGCCCTATTCCTGAAAATTCCCCTGAGACAGAAGTGGCTCTGTTTAGGACTCGGGACCGAGACTCTGGGGAAAATGGGAGGACGGTTTGCTCCATCCAAGATGATGTTCCATTCACGCTGAAACCTTCAGTTGAGAACTTCTACAGGCTGGTAACAGAAGGAGCTCTGGATAGAGAGACAAGAGCCCAGTATAATATCACTATTACTGTCACTGACTTGGGGACACCAAGGCTGAAAACCGAGCACAGCATAATAATCCTCGTCTCGGACGTTAACGACAATACCCCTACCTTCACGCAAACGTCATACACGCTGTTGGTGCGTGAGAACAACCAGCCCGCCCTGCACATAGGCAGTGTCGGTGCCACAGACAGAGACTCAGGCACCAATGCCCAGATCACCTACTCGCTGCTGCCATCCCAGGATCCGCACCTGCCCCTCGCCTCGCTGGTCTCCATCAACGCAGACAATGGGCAGCTGTTCGCGCTGAGGTCGCTGGACTTCGAGGCCCTGCAGGCATTCGAGTTCCACGTGGGCGCCACAGACCACGGCTCGCCCGCGCTCAGCAGCCAGGCGCTGGTGCGAGTGGTGGTGCTGGACGACAATGACAACTCGCCCTTCGTGCTGTACCCGATGCAGAACGCCTCTGCGCCCTGCACTGAGCTGGTGCCCAGGGCGGCAGAGCAGGGCTACCTGGTCACCAAGGTGGTGGCAGTGGATGGAGACTCG